GAAAGAAAACCAACAGTACTGAACCCCCAGAATGTCCCATTTCATAAAAAGACTGAAGCTGTGCTGCAAGTCCCTTCTCACAGAGGTTGACAAGGAAAGGCAAGCATGCCAGTTTTGCTGACCTGTACTGCTGCTGAGATTATCCCAGGTGCCCTAGGCCGCCCCCAGGACACAGAAAATCAGATGTGAAGAGGACAAAGGTAGGCAAGCCACAACAACCTGTTAGGAGACACACCACGTCCGCAGAGAAAACTGTCACTGCTATTTATTTCATACTGCCACAGCCCAAAGCTGGTAGCTGGTTTGTGCAACAAAGAACTGAATCCTGCAAAACACCAGTAAAACTGAATTCAGCAGGGAACTGGACGGCAAGCCAGGCAAAGAAATTTAGAAAAAGAGAATACTATAGTATAAGAGAATTTCTAGGGATAATTCATGAACCAGCTGTCTGAAGAGTCATTCCTTTGGTTCACTTCTCCTGTTAGCATTTGAATGCAAGACATGGCAGTAAGATCATATGGATGAGATTAGCTCACTGCTCTTAACGAGAAGACGGATGTAAATTTACAGCAACATGGTTGACATCTGCAGACTGACACCAGCTTTACACACAGTTAAACACACATTTGTTCAGTGGGGCTGTTAAGGACAGTCAGGGAGCTAATCAGAACAAGTAAGTAATTTTTTAATAACAGCCTTGGTCCAGACTGAGGGCAAAACTACATCTATTCTTACACTAGCCACTCTACTTTCTAGCTTGATGCCTGTCCTTGGTGTAGAGAAGGTCTAGGATGTATATTTCAAATCCTGCTCCTTCTTAACATCTTTCCTCAGGAAGGGGAAACTTTTCTGCATACTGCTCCCCATAACTTTCAGCATTTCTCCCCACCTTAGGAGTGTCTGTCTTATAAAACTCTTCTACATGAAAAAAAAAAAAAGCCAAACATGTTACGCCAGCAAGCCAGTTTGCAAAGAGCCTGCCAGCTTGCTTTCATAGGGCCTTTACTAAACAGCTGCTATTACCCCTCCACTTTTATCAGCATTAATTCACTGACCCAGATGAAAAGAATGCATGCTTCAGAAAGCCCTGATTTTTAGCAAGGGGGACACACAACACAAGTTTAATCTTACTGCAAATCAGCAGAAATTTTACAGAGCATATTTAAACGGGGATCTTTACATGTCTGGCACCTCTTTAAAGGTAAATTGTCCTACAGTTTGTTTTTTTTTTTAAATCTGTGTGGTAAAAATTCACTCTTTTCAGCATTTGAAGCCTGTTAAAACATTTTCCTCATCCTCTCACGCAGTACTTAGGTTCCACCTAGCGGCTTTCAACAGCAATAAACAGATTAGACACGCATTTTATTGCCTAAATGCTTGATTTTTCAAAATCCGTGTGTCTAGTTGCAGAAATATTCATAGAGTCTCTTTAGACATGTAATTTATTTTGCCACCTCCATAAAAATTCTCTTGGTCCTCTGATGGGAATTTTCCAGCTACAGTTATTCTAGTTTAAACATCTAAAGCAAAAGGGTATTAAATTAAACTAAAGCTTATTCCTGTGCAAACAAGATTGAGAGGATGGGCTGGCTAAGAGCATTAGCAGCTTGCAGACAGGAGCTATGTAGTGCTGCTGTGCCTGTTAAATAAAGCAGCTGCTGTGTCCCTCTCCAGCCAGGTCTCAGCAGGCTATCTGCTCACTAGCACAACTTGGTTGGCACAAACCTGTCACGCCCAGTGAGATGTGTCTCGCTTAACTGCTGACATTTTCAGCATCGACTCCCTTCACAGTCAACTGAGAAACAAGCACTTCTAGACCATGATTCGGATGACTTATTTTAGAGGTTTACCTTTGGGTGAGATGAATTGCATCCTAGAAGTGTCTCATTTCCATTACAAAGAGAAGCTGAAGGGTTTACTGATAGCATGGTACCTCCATTATACATCCTGAATCCCACCCAGAGTGTCTGGCTAAGACTTTGTCTGCTACACACCATTTGAAGCATAGCCCACCTTGCAGTGAGCTCTAAACAGGCAGCAGAAGGGATCTGGAAGCAGGGCAACCACGGCAATTACAGACTTTGCACCTAAGTTAAAAAACAATAGTGACAGGTAGCCATCCTACCACAGAAAACTTCATTTAAACACCTCTGTTCTCAGAATACCTCTCACCCTGCTGCTCAGCTCCGTTAGACTGACGAAGGTAGGTTTGTCTTATAGCAGAAGCGTAAGACAGTTCTGCTCCTACCTACTTTAAGGTTATAAAACAAGCTATGCTTCTATTTCAGTTCCCTGAGGCATTAGTAGAGCTTTACCAACTCTAAAGAGTCACTATCTTCAAAGGGAAGGAAAAAAAGCAACCATCAAAGAAATGTGAAACTCCATGAATTTATCAGCTGCCATATTAGAGGTCAAAAGCAGATATTTTAAAGTAATTTTAGTGTCTTATATAAACAAGACAGAGTTCACCAGAACTGGTCTAGTTTGTCCGCAGAGATCATATCCATTTAAAGAGAAGGTGAAATTAAAAAAAAAAAAAAAGAGGGGGGCGGGGGGAGAGTTGACCTAGTTCATGATTTGTGGAGTGTGGGATGGATGAAAAGTCTTTAACTCCTTAATGCAGCTTTTTCTGTCTATTCTAATTTCAAGGAGCTTTACTCTTGGTCACACGCAGTTTGAGGCTTGCACCCAGCAAATCATGTCTGCTTTTCTAGAATGTGATTCCAGTGTGCAGCAGAACTGCTCAGATTTATTACTCTATAGCGGCATCTCTCAATTTCCTCCCCACAGCTTACCTTTCCACCTTCACCTAAACTTTCATGGAGGAGGGCTGCATGTGACAGACTGTCTCTTTTATGCAAAGAAAAGGAGAAAATCTTCAGTAGTTTCAAACTTCCTTGCTCTGTAAAAATGAAGAGAGAAACTAGGGCTACACAGTGCCTATCTTGCCATTGGGTTCATACCCTAGTCAACCTAGACTTGTGGTTTATCTGCATGATAATTAAACCTGTTTGTCTGTAACAGTTTTCACAAAACCTGAGAAGTTTTAGAACACCAAGTTGATTATAATCTCTCCATTTAAACTCTCCCCCCCTCCCCACTTTGCACAAAACCATATGTTGTACAGCCTTACCTCCCAGAATCTTGAATCAGGTCCCACCACAGGGAGCAACTGTTCCCTCCTTCACAGCACGGAGAACACTGCTAGATGGCCCAGAGGCCGGAGAACATGGCAGCAAGCTTTTAAGCAATCCTCTCACGAGCCTCCATTTGCCACTGAAATACATGCACCACAGTGGTGGTCTCACTCTAAATTTGCAGCAGGTGCGCCCACCCATTGATAAAGGGGGAAGCCCCCCCTCAGTTACCCTCAGGTGACATCATACAGGTGAGTGTGTGGGAGGGCAGGGATTTGGATACCCGCACCCCCGGACAGCCCCAAGGGGCAGGAGGCCCGGTGGGGCCCCCCGGCTGCAGGGGTGTGAGGAAACCCGGGTGGGCCTTACACAGCTTCACCTCCGCTTGCAGGGGGGGCGGCTATTTTCCATTGCCGAGGCCTGAGGTGCCGCCCGAAGCCTAGCGGGCGGCAGGCAAACCCGCGGCTACCGCGGCGCCCGCCTG